AAGTACCTGGTCGTATCCATTCCATATTATATAAATTTGGAGGGAATTGCATCAATTTGATATTCAGGTGGTCTGTAAATTTCTAGATGTTGATTTTGTAAGCAATCATCTTTTATTATACAATTGTTGACCTTTTTTCATGTGAATACCGGGAATTGTTTATTCAGAAAATGATTTTCTCAACAGCAGAATGAAGTATCATCTTCTCTAGTTCAAAAATTCTTGTATTCCCCTGAAACAAGGGCATTAATTCTTTGTTTATCGTGTAATAACATCAATCCCTGCTTCTCATTGATTACTGGATTGTTACATATTTTGGATTGTTGGGTTTCTCCTCTTGTTGGAAGGATTCCTTCTGTTACTCTGTTATGTAGCAATCTCTTTTAACATGAGAAGTGTTTTGACCAATCAGCATGTAGGAAAAATTATACAGTTATATAATTCTTCTAGATGTTAATTGTGTGAGTCTCACATGTATTCTACATTTGTAGATGTTCAGTTGTTGTACCAGCTAGTATTGGCACTGACAAACACATCCTATATGTTTGTAGAAGTTGGTAGTGTTAATGTGAGGTCTAATCTCTTTTAAGTTCTTTGGTACCACACACATAGCTCAGAACAGGTTTATTTTTACACATTAAGCTTAACAATACCTATACTTCTCCCTTACACCTATAAGTAAGAGTATAAATGTATCATCCTGATGATCTGCTCCAAACATACAGATGATCCTACCCAGGCCAATACATTACACACTGACATCATATATACTGATTTCAGTATCAGGTGACAGTCTTGTAAATACTTCTACACATTGTCTGCCCTCTTCATACAATTGAATTTGAATCATGATGAAAAAGCAATAGTGAATCACAGTATTTCGAGCATAAACGCCAATTGTAAGAATTCCATCTGTTCAATATCAACAAAAGGATATCTAATATATGTAAGAGGTATTCAGAATCAAATTTGTTATCAGGATTTGATCTGATATGACCTCTGACCTGTGAAGATTTATTATACAGGTAAAACCCAGAGAGACTTCCTGGGAAAAACTCACTAGAAACAGGTTGGCATTGAAATACACAGCTTAAGTAAAATGATAGCAGGTATCTAGTCAATTTCTAGCCAATCATAAAAGTGTTGTGACATTCTTCTGACTGGTATATATTTTTACCTTTGTTCCCTTACCAGCAAAGCATTCGTAGTCTCAAATATATGTACACATACATACAAACGCATACATATACCATATTTAAGATCAATGCTTGTAGGTAGAGATTTGGTATGGTGGAGTTTTGTGTTTTGGAATCTTTGTCCTTGTGTATGAATGGTGTCTAGTTTTTGTCCTTCTCTAGTTCTAGTTTCTATGTTTTTGAAATATTTAGCTCATCTGGGCCAAAGGTGTATGGTATCTTTGTTTGGAAGTTTTTGTCCTTTTCTGGGTAGGGTGTCTTTGTATTGAAGTTTTTGTCCTTGTCTGGGTAGGGTGTCTTTGTATTGAAGTTTTTGTCCTTGTCTAGGTATGGTGTCTTTGTATTGAAGTTTTTGTCCTTGTCTGGGTATGGTGTCTTTGTATTGAAGTTTTTGTCCTTGTCTAGGTATGGTGTCTTTGTATTGAAGTTTTTGTCCTTGTCTGGGTAGGGTGTCTTTGTATTGTAGTTTTGTCCTTGTCTGGGTAGGGTGTCTTTGTATTGAAGTTTTTGTCCTTGTCTGGGTAGGGTGTCTTTGTATTGAAGTTTTTGTCCTTGTCTGGGTAGGGTGTCTTTGTATTGAAGTTTTTGTCCTTGTCTGGGTAGGGTGTCTTTGTATTAAAGTTTTTGTCCTTGTCTGGGTATGGTGTCTTTGTATTGAAGTTTTTGTCCTTGTCTAGGTAGGGTGTCTTTGTATTGAAGTTTTTGTCCTTGTCTGGGTAGGGTGTCTTTGTATTGAAGTTTTTGTCCTTGTCTGGGTAGGGTGTCTTTGTATTGAAGTTTTTGTCCTTGTCTGGGTAGGGTGTCTTTGTATTGAATTTTTTGTCCTTGTCTGGGTAGGGTGTCTTTGTATTGAAGTTTTTGTCCTTGTCTAGGTAGGGTGTCTTTGTATTGAAGTTTTTGTCCTTGTCTAGGTACCATTTGTTTTTTATTTTTTTTCTGGCACTGGAATGTTGTCTTTGGGATTTTTTCTTGGCCAAGATTGGTGAATGTCTGCTTTGGAAGTTTGTCGTTTGGTATGTGCTTTTGGCAGTATCCGCTACAGCCTGTCAGGTGTTTGTTTTGGTAGTCGCCTGACTGCCTGCAGGAATGTGTACTACTAGAGCATATTGTTACTGATTGTTATTGCCTGGCTCCGCCCGAAACCTCGCATCTAGTGGTAATATTCAGCTAAAGTTGATCATACTACATTGAGGAAACATCCGGCACGCTAGTATTATTTTCAAATCAACATTATGATATTTGACATTTTATCATGTTTAGATCGTTATCTTGGTTTTTTTTGTAATTTTTAGAACATCGTAACTTGAACTTCAAAGTATTATGAAGACATACTGAAGTGAATGCTTATTAATCTTTCAGTGACACTACTGTGCAATGATTTTTTAAAGTAAAATGCCGAAAATGTAAACATAGAATGATTTCCAAAGTGAATCTGGTGACTTATTATTGACACATTTCAGTAAAGTTTGACTGTTTAGTCTGAGTGGTATAAACTTGTAGCAGATTTGTTTATTGGTAAGGCATACCTACCGTACCTCAGCTAGATATATACAATGTACATAATGAGCCACAGGTTTGTAGGTTAATGAAGCTTCACCATTTGGTACTGACAGCACATATGCACATATAACAATAGTCTACATTCATGTTTTGTCATAATGCTATGTATACTTGTTGTTGTTGAGGCAGTACACATACGTAGAGATGGTAAGACCATTACAAACATATGGTTTGTTTCCTGTCTACCCACACACACAACCTGATAATACACAGCCTGTTGTAATTCAACCCATACCTTTTAGAGTTGATTGTCATTTAAATGGTAAATTGGTAAATGTATAACACTATTAACATATTTGACCATTAAAAATCTGTTTTAATCTTGATATTCGCCAAACTGTGCTTTAACCATTGTGAAATAAGTGTAATTAAAAATTGTTATTTTCCTGGTATTTGTATGCCTTTATACACATTGATATTGAAAGACTGTACCTATTGTTGACATAGGAAGAGGAAATGTCAGATCAGAGTTGGTGGGTTGGGGGTTAGACTGTGTTTCTGATACAACTCCCTTTTGTACTAGAGCAGGGACAGATCTCTAGGAAACTGATATCTCTTATTGTTGCTTTATACCTCCTGGAAACCAGTCTAAGCTATAGTGTTTTGTTATTTATGTACAGACGTATATCCTATGCGGAGGTTTGTAAATATACTGTGTATATAATGTACATCACTGACTCTAGCTGTCAATCATGTGTACAGGTACATGTGTGGGGGTATGTGTGCCAGGTACTACCACAGTCAGACGCAGTTTCCTCACAAGGTTGTTCACCAGAGAAACCAGGCGTTATCCGTGGAGAAATAGGAGGGTTTAAATGATCAGTTGTTGGCTATCGGATAGCACCTCATCTGTCCAGTGACAAACTGTGAAACTTCCTATGTGTGTGGATTTGTATTGGACTGTCGCTAGACGTCCACAGTTCTACTACGATTCTGATATTCATGGATGTTCATTTCCACGATTCAGTCACGCGAGTAATGGACGAGTAACCTGACCTGTTGAATGAGGTGTGACATTATGTTGCTTGGATAAGTAGTAGTTTTGATTTATTTCAGGTTTTATCATTATCATACTACTTCACAAAATTCACATCTTTTTCCTTGTCATTGACATAAAAAAAATGTGTGTTATGAAAACAAAATGTCATGATGACCAACACAAGCATCTGGTAAATCTTTCGGTAGAGTAAATATTAAGGCACATTTCTTATACAAACGTATTATTAAAGTTTCTTGGAAGTCATGGATAAAAATGATGGGTTTTCTGTAATGCTATCCATTACATAATTTCACTTTTCTTTTTGTTTTGATATCTTTTCATTTCTAAATAAAATGTCTATTTTTTTCCAATGGTTCAATGTGTATTTAGCAGTTTTACCGAAATGTATGTTACAGAGAATGTGTTTCTCAAAATCATGAAACCTGTGCATATTGAAGTATTCACAGCCTTTGTTTTCATAATATCCTTTTTTCACAATGTTATGTCCTCCGCAAATATCTAAAAAGTAAAGTCTTTTGAAAATTGGAACCTGTAAAATGAAGCTGTTGTGATCAAATTTATATGTTGGATTGCTAACAGTATAAAAGTGTTTTGAAAAAAAACATGCCCTTAAAATGAGTATTTAAATTCCCATCATGAAACAGCAATATCTACCTTGTAATTTCCACCCAGTATGTTTTTTTTACAAGAAACACATCATGTGAATCATTTAATCATACAGGTGCTGATCTTTGATTGAAACAAGTTCTGTCAGCATCTGAATGCATCACTTGATCTGTAAAATACAGTAACATTGACTGGGTTTTATTGTTTGTGATGGGCATAGAGCCTTGAATGACACCATCAGCTGTGTATAATGTCACCTATCAAGTTTTATGACTATACATCGGTTAAAATAGATGTATTTACCTGTCTACATGGCTTTCTCAGGGTAATATCACATCATTCATTATTCACCTTAAACAAAAGTTGGTAGTTTTTAATTAATTGTGGTTCATTGATAAGAAAAGGTGAAAAGGTGAAGAGTTTGTCCGCAAAGACTTTAATGTAAATGATCAAGGGAAACATTTTACCAGTCTTTGCTTTTGTAAAGGCATTGTATCGTAACAAGCAAACAATATGTTGAAATTAATATTTATTTTTGTTTGTTTTTTTCAGTTTTTTGGTGAATTGGGTCACACATTTATGGAGTTCGTGACGAACAGTGGAGACTACTGCCAGGCTCAACACGCACTGTGAAGTGTGTTGTGTATTCCTCTTCTCATCGTCTCTGTCATTGTATTTCTTATTGTCTTGTCTGATTGCACTCCTTGTCGGATCTACCCCCACCCTGTGTGGAGCCAAGCATTCGTCCAGGATTGGTTCATCATTGTAATACTTTCGTTTTTGTCTAAAACTCTGTTGTCACCTTTTGCCAAAGCAAGCAGTGGCTGTCTTGCTGTTTTGTTTTACGGATGTAGCAGTCTTGAGTGTTGAACCAGCCATTATAAAACGGTGCTTGTATACCTCCAGTGAGATTTTAAACCTCCCTCGAGATTTCATTCGTGACATAGTGTACAGCTGTACAGCAGTTGCGAGTGTGAAAATTCAAACATATGTCAACTTACGGGCTGTTGCTGAAGGATTGATCAAGAATACTTCCTTTACCAACTGTTATTGTTTACAGTGACAAGTGATAGTCCCTACATCTTGTAAAACTTGAATCCATTACGGTGTCGAAAGTGACCATCAAACCACTAAATGGGGTAAATTAATTTAAGTGGTGTCTAGTTTCTCAAAAACTGTAGACATACTTTGTGGAATTTTATAAAAATATTGAGGAAAAAGTTACGAGTTGGATGTGGCAAGTAACAGTTCAGACGCCCGCTCGTCTTTCATCAGTCGGTTTAGTCTTGGTGGAGTAATCGTGTTGTCGTTTTTGCGTACCTCAGATTTCATCCTGTTCACTAAAGTGTTTGATTGTTGTTCTGTGGGTAAGATATATATATATTGACTGTTGTGTTCCAGTTATAAAACTGATATGTATATATATATGAATATATAATATTGGTGGTGCATTGATATTCAATAGCTAAGAATATAAATATATTTTTCTCTGCTTTATACGGATATATATTGTGTTCATAGAGTAGCAAAATCTGGATTTATTTTTTTGTGAAGCGTGGATATTTACTCCGAGACCTGGTCTTTAATGTGGATGCCTTTCACAAAATCATCGCTTGTATAAGTATATTAATGCACCTTTTGTTTTATTCTGGTGAAATTATGGTCATGTATCCCTGAATTAGTGGGAAAACATTACGGAAATCTAATGTGCCCTTTTCCGTAAATAAAAGAGTTGAAGTTCGATGTAAAAGTTTGTTGAACCCGGGACATCTAAGTCTCCAAGTTACTTGAAGAAGAGTGGAAGTAGAAAAGGAAGAGGAAGCTTTCCTTTGAACTTGATAATTTGGAATTCAAGGATTTGTCAGCTAATGTCTGTAAATATGAAGGCCAGACGACCCGACCCGGCTGAGATCGAGTATAAGAACATGAGATTTTTAATAATGGACAGACCAACAGATGCTACCATGGACAAATTTATAGAAGTAAGTATATTTGGGTAGAAATGTTTAAAATTGTTGTTTAATTGCGGCTAGTTTTCTTGTCATCTGGAAATTTAAAAATTCAAAAGTTTTTTTCATGTAATGGCTACTGTTTGGTACAGCTTTAGTTCTTTTGGCAATGAAAATTAAAATGTTAATAGAAGTTGTCTCATTTCACCAGAGCTTGCGTCTTTTTCCTTACAGGAACTTAAGAAACGTGGTGCTAAAGATGTTGTCAGAGTTTGTGAGCCTACGTACAAGACAGAAAAATTGGATACCCAAGGAATTCGTGTCTTGGTGAGTACACATGTACCGACACACATACCTTACAGGACAAAAATCATGCATGAGTGGTTGCCTTGGTCAGTTGCCAGTAGATAGACTGAAGGGACAGCTCATTAAGGTCATGTATTTGCACTCATCCATGACCCATTTTACGAGTCAACAGTCGTAAATCATCAGCTGTTTTCCTGTCATGATCCTAAAGACTAGAGTGCATAGATTTGATGTCTCAAGCTCCCCTTTTGTTATCTCAGTTGCTAATGATCTAGAATTTCCCAATAAGATTAGTTTTAAATGGTTTGACGCCTGTTGTAAATTATACTGTTAAATCATTGTGTGTTAATCAGCATTTGGCAACATGTCATATCAAAGAAAAATCTCTTTTGGTTTGGTAAAAATGTTCAGAAATTTAGGTAAGACAAAATTCAACAATATTTCAAAAATTTATTGCCCTTGTTCTTTTCAGCATTTTTGTCCTGTCCAAATATTTCTTAGTTTTTCACCCATCTCTTTAAAACTTGGTATCCTTTTACTTAGTATTAAATGATCAAAAACTATTTTCCCTCCTGACATTTCAACTCATTACCGTTTGTTACCATACTGGTCAGCCCTGTAGTACCCTTGGATGTGTCAAGAAAATGGTAAAATGCGCAGTTTTTTATGTTTGAGTATTTATGTAAGAGAATGTCAGAAAACTGGTGATACAAGTCTTGAAATTAATCAGATGGGGGAGAAGAGGGGGGGAGGAAGTGGAAGGGAAGAAAGAGAGAGGGAAAGAGAGAGAGGAAAGCAGGAGGGAAAGAAAGAAAGTGAAGGAGTGTGCTATATCTCCCTTCCTGGGTAATCATTGGGGAACACGTCACTGAATTAGTATTTTACCTTGGCACTGGATTGGCATCTATTCTTCCAAATGGAACACTTGATGAAATAACTAGTGTTTGTAAAGGAATACAATGCAAAGGCTTGGCCTTTAGGAAATAATTGCTCCTCTAGGTTACAATGACATGATCATCTGTAAAACTGGTTTATTTATAGATCCACTCACTTAGCAAATTGTCATTTTGGAAAAATTTGAAAATATTTACATGGGGACAGCTTCTTCTCATCTATCCTAACTCTGTTCCTTATCATAGTCACACCTGCCTTTCAAATTAATCTTGTTTCAATCAGATTGTCAATGATAAAGAATGAGTTACTGAAGTTTTCTTCCTGCTTGACTGTTTATCACCACTGTTCGATCCTGACTGACCTAGTTGTAGAGATTGACCTCAGGTGTAGGTCATTTAGGCGTTATCTGTGCACTCTAATGGGAAGTAAAGAGAAAGACAGGAATGCCATTCATGGGGAGGATCTGGCCCAGACAGGAATGTATTAAACAAACAGCATGATGGAAATGATGGACTGGTTATCTAGTCTCCCAGACAAAATCTCACTTCCAGTAAAAGGTCTGGTCACCAAGACAAAATCTCACTTCCAGTTAAAGGTCATTTCCCCACCTAAAGTGTCACTTCCTGTTATTGGTCATTTCTCCACGACTAAAATCTCACTTCAAGTTATAGGTCTGGTCACCTAGACAAAATCTCACTTCAAGTTAAAGGTCATTTCCCCACCTTAAGTGTCACTTCCTGTTATTGGTCATTTCTCCACGACTAAAATCTCACTTCAAGTTATAGGTCTGGTCACCTAGACAAAATCTCACTTCAAGTTAAAGGTCATTTCCCCACCTGAAGTGTCACTTCCTTTTATTGGTCATTTCCCCACAACTAAAGTCTCACTTCCAGTCATAGGTCTGGTCACCCAGACTAAAGTCTCACTTCTAGTCATAGGTCTGGTCACCCAGACCAAAGTCTCACTTCTAGTCATAGGTCTGGTCACCCAGACTAATGTCTCACTTCCAGTTATAGGTCTGGTCACCCAGACTAAAGTATCACTTCCTGTTATAGGTCTGGTCACCCAGACTAATCTCACTTCAAGTGATAGGTCTGGTCACCCAGACTAAAGTCTCACTTCCAGTTATAGGTAAACACGGGGGAAAAGATGATGAAGTTGAAAACACTTATCAAGCCTTGTCTTTGCTAACTTAATCACCTTAAATTCAAGGGAAAAGAGAACAGATAAAACCAGGTCAAGCAAGTGATTTAAGAAAGTTTTTATGTTGAAAGGGAACTATTTTGTTTGTGGACTAGTTGTGGTTTTACCTGGTGCCTAGACCAGCCCAAGACTTTTAAGGTAGCTATGTAATGATGGCCTTTTTAGGACAGGTAACCCTGATCTGGTACACAGCTGTGTCTGGAAATCCAGACATGCTGGGGACAAGCTCCAATAGAATCTGTTGTATCAAAGGATTTCCTGGGTTAATGTAATCTGTATGTAGATTATAGATATGTGATATGGGTGGTCAGTCCTTCTTTAGGAAAATAAAAACAAAATGATTGACTATGCTGAAACGTCATCAAAATCAAGTACTGCTGTCAGCAATTAAGCACATAATGATGACTGCTACCTTGGATCATCCTGGACTAACTATAGGACACATATGTCATTTGTATTTATAAAATACTGTAATATTGAAGCCTCCATATTCCTAACACTTGTAAGAAATAAGAGCTGATACCAGGAAGAAGAAATTATTTACTGCTGTTACATTGCTCTTCTGTCTTATTATGGTGATGGAGCCAAGTAGGGATGAAAGTATGAATGATGTATATATCCCATGCAGAGAGATGTGTATTCTTTGGTGACCTTGTTGACAAGTCACACTGTATGTAGAGGTTCACAACAGGATTTCTCATGTTGAATATCAGTTAGTATATTTGTCCTGCAGTAAGTCTGTCTGGATGATAAACCCACACATATTGATAGCCATAATAAGCCCATTCCTTGACTTTGAATCAGAGATAATATATTGGCCAAGATCAATAAGTAGATTTTAATTTATTTTATTGGTTTCCTTTCTTTATAAGTATCCTTGCAATTTGATAGGTTTAAAATCCATTTAGCTATTTTAAAAGGACAGTAAAAAAGTTTATCCAGAAGACAATTTCCTTGTAGTTGAGAAGTACAAGGTGTTTTTACTGCATACAGGAAAACTTCAGATGCGGTTAAACCCTTTCGTTAATAAGGTGAAAATAAAATGACTGCTAAATAGCTGCAATATTTTTTTTGTTATTTGGGTGAATTAAACATAGGACAATTAAAAAGATTATTTCCCCACCCCCTCACCCCACCCTCACCCCACCCTCACCACATACAGTCATAAAATCATTAATCTAGCATCTAGCATCACTATGAACACCATGTCATTACTCTGAGAGTATAGACGGGAAAAGTAGAGACATGTTTGAAAGTCAATCTGCTTATGTATGATTGGTGAAGTGGGCCCAGTGTTAATTATATATATCTGTGGATTGATATGGCTGTCTCACCTGCAAACTTCATTGGGTCTGACTTGCAGGAACTGCAGTAGTGAGTTAACGTAGTTGTAGTCGGACAAAGGCAGCATTACATTAAGTATAATTGTGGATTAAACTTTTCACCTTCTGTGTACTCACATACACGTAACCAGTGTACATATAGGAAGAGGCCTACAACAGGAAAATCTTAATGCTGCAAACTCAAATACAAAATTTTATTCAATGGCAGTAAAATGTTATTGATGAAGACAAAACCATGTCAGTTGAGAGTTCCGCGTTGTATTTAGAGAAGAATTTCTGTTACTTTGTTGGGTCTATCACCACATGGCAGGGTCATTTTGAGGTGTGATCTCCTTGTGGTGGCTGCATGGTTGCTACCTCACTGCACAATATACAAAAGGCCTGCTGTATTCCATGTAGAGCAGATAGGGTAAAAAGTCTTGTCCAAGGACATGACTGTGACAGCACAGACTGGTCTCTCAGCTTCCTGAGGAACACAAACCACCACCAGTAAGGAGTGTCCAACCATGCACCCCCCCTCTCCTCAACTGAGGTTACGTATGACAATGCTCTACCTGATTGGCTATCACAGCCTCCAATTTTAATAAGAGAATTACGGTAATAAATACCCATGTATATGGTAGTTTGCCATTAAACATTTCATATTGATAATTTTTTAGTCTTTACAGAGTTCAAATCCTTACTTTGACTTTGATTCAGGTCTTGAGGGTGAGGTGTAGAATTGGATCACTCTAGAATTTATTAATTCAGTTATATATATATAATATCAAACTGTGGTGTTTTTTATCTCATGAGATGTACTTTGTGTAAGTATATGAAAAAGTAGCAGTGAGGGTCAGAATGTTGAGATGGAATGGACATGTAAAGTTATGTTGGGGTTCTTAGTTTTATTTAGTAAACTAAAGCATACACCATTGTATGTTTTAATTTGTGATTAGTTTGTGTGTTCATAGAATACTGAATTGTTTGCAATGCATGGTATGAAACAAAGCATGATGACATTTTTGTTGTATTGTACGTTTTACTTGTTGAATTCAGTGGGATTCAATTTATACTTCATCAATATTTTTATATTAAGACTTACATTTGATTGGATGTTGACAGGACTGGCAGTTTGATGATGGAAATCCTCCTCCCCTGATGGTGATGGACGAGTGGTTCAACCTGCTCAAGACCCGCTTCAAGGAAGAGCCTGGTTGTTGTGTGGCAGTCCACTGTGTTGCAGGACTTGGAAGGTGAGTGCCATAGTTTATTTGTGAGGGTAGGCATCTCAGATTGGGACATTAAATGAATCCACTTAGTACTGTGTGACAGGACTTTGAAGGAGAGTGATGTATAAGGGGCATAACTCTTGATATCTTTGATTTATTTAACTTGGTCAGAATTGTAATTACATTAATTAAAATCTTTACTTTGGCTTATAAAAATATTTCCATAAACATTACTATGGAAACAAGATTAAGGCTTCTAAAAATATTCTCCAAATAAGATAAAAATAAATAAATAGCGTGTTGTTAGGAATGGCAAATGCATTTGGTTCAATGATAGATGATAGATAGAAGTGTGGATGGGTGTTTTAATTTTTTGGGCGGAAGGGGGAGGACTAGAGTTCCTCAAAGCTCATCAGGGTGTTGGTGATATAATTAGTCAACCTTCCTGGAAACTGTTTTAGTTTTAACTGGTGAGAAATTATATGAAGTATTTGTTGGGTTGAAGGACTTCTAAAATTCATCAAATGAATAACTTTGAACCACTTTCAAAGTTCACACAGGTCAAATTTATTAGAATATGAACATCTGATGATGAGTAATCAAAAGGCTCTGGGTCATGATGTTACAAATAGTTCGGTATAATGAAGGGCTACCATATTTGTTCAAATGGATGACCTTGACCTAATTTCAAATTTATATTGACCAAAGATGTTAAAGTCTTTGAATAGCTGTAGTTTAACCAGAAGGCCACACTATTTGGCCAGTAGTATGCTGGGATTTGAACAGCTTTTGTGTTATTGAAGGACAAGGATTTTTCTGTAGTTTTTCTAATCTTGGACAGAAAATTGGCCCCATTATTGATTGAAATTATTGAGCACCAAAGGATTTAATACTTTAATCTCAAAGTATGGTACTTTCCAATATTCTTTATCTTTTCAGTTTAATTTTTATGACAGGTGAGATATATGCCCTTGTGTTGTGAAATACTCACCTGGTTCTGCATTATTTGATGGGTCAGTCAGTTCGTTGCTACAAACATGGGACTTTTGAGTGAAAACATGTTAATATCCCTTTACTTTGTTCTCCCTGGGGTGGAATAAGCCTTACCTTCACATGAATTTTTAAACCATCCTGATATCAGAGCTTTGAAGTAGTACTGCTAAGTGTCAGAAGTGCCACAGGATAATAGGTCTCATATAATTAGTGATTACCTGATGTCAATAGACCCTGTCTAGAATCATGATAGAAGAATTTGATGAATTTCATCTCTTCAAAACAAATACTTATATTCATGTAAATGGAAGAAATGTCATCGCACAAAAGGTCAAAATTATAAAAATTTGTTTTACCAAAAATTCAGCTTAACCAGGAAAATAGCCCATGTCTTAAAAATGGAAACTGAAGAAACAGTATTTTAGGTCATGGGACCTGAAGGGTCACTCAGTGACCATTTATTATCTTACAATACTGCAATTGTTTTAATTTTTTATTTAAACAATGATGATGTATATCATATTAGATTGCCAGGTGTTTCAGATAGTAACTTGTGTGTAATCAATAGCATGGTCTGTGATGTTATACACATTTTAGGTTAAGCTTGGTGATGAAATATTACCCTACACTAAGCTTTGTTTTGATGGTTTTTCATACAGGAAACAGGAAATTTCACTGATAATGTAAAAGACATGTACTTAGGTATTGATCAGCCTTGGAAACAGGCTTCTTGCCCAGTAATAATGCTCACACACAAACCCAGCTATTTCTGGACTGATAATTACAAGGCAGGGTTAATTGGCACAGAAATACATGACCACATAACCATAGCAACATACTGGTAGGCCACAAGTTGTCACCTGATGGGTGATTTGTTAGGTCATCAGACTGTCTGAATTATTGCTACATATTAAAGAAGTAAAGATGGAATTGTTAATGGTAAAAACTAAAATGTTTTCTTAAAAGTCAGAAGTCTTCATCATCAATTAGTAAGTTAGGCAAGGGATTGTCACTATCTAGTCATCCATGATGATGTTTCCCCCCTGTCTCATGGATGACAGCTTTTTAATTAGTGCATAGTTGTAAATTTATGTAAATCATTTCCTAACTCTCAACCTAAGTACATGTTGCTAAATTTTTGTGTTTTTACATAATGAGAAATTCTGACTGTCAGTCAGGCCAAAAAAACCCAGTCAGACTAGGTAATAGGATACAGGACCCTTGGACTAGGTAATAGGGTGTAGTAACCCTTGGACTAGGTAATAGGGTACAGGAACACTTGGACTAGGTAATAGGGTGTAGGAACCCTTGGACTAGGTAATAGGGTACAGGAATCCTTGGGCTAGGTAATAGGGTACAAGAACCTTTGGACCAGGTAATAGGGTACAGGAACCCTTGGGCTAGGTAATAGGGTACAGGAACCCTTTGGCTATGTAATAGGGTACAGGACATCTTTGGGATCCTTCGTTTAAATGGTTTTAAAAACCTGTTCAGCTCCTAGTACTGAAGAAGATTGTCTGATGACAAATATTGTGTGCTTATTTGTTCCTGCTTTGTCCACAGAGCTCCTGTTTTGGTGGCATTAGCTTTGATTGAATGTGGAATGAAATACGAAGATGCAGTGGAACTAATTCGCAGGTAAGACTTGAAAACTGAGACAAGGGAGGTAACTATTAAACATTATGAATGTCCACATAATTATCCAAATGATTGTTACTGCATACCTGGGTGATGACAAGAAATCAAAGGTAAAAAATAAATTATATTTTAGACCCTGATTTTGTTTTCCTGATTTGAAAGAAACCTGTGCAATTCCATTTATGGATGGCTTTAAAATTTGAAAGTATCTGCTATTGAAATATTGGTGTACTCGTATATAAATTATATTATGACCCCTGATAATTAATATCAGGAATAATTTATAATAATTCTGTTTTTTCACCAACAGCAAAAGACGTGGTGCCATCAACGCCAAACAACTTTCCTTCCTTGCGGACTACCGGCCGAAGTCACGTCTAAAGTTACGTGGTAATGGACACAAGCAGTGTTGTATAATGTAGACCTGATAGCTCATCATCATGTTATAAGTTATGTTTCATCTCCTGTTGTCACACAGGAGTGCTTTGACAACTGATGTAAAACTAACTGTGATTGGAGGGGATTGAGAGGAGACCTTATAACAGTAGTGTTGTTGGCATGTGATAATTCAGCTGGATGGAATATGGAGAGAATGATCAGGGTTGATAAAATATCTGTGATCAGATTAGCTACTTCAGAAATCACTTTATATTCAAACAATCAACTTTGATGAATTATATTGGTATGAAGAATTGTACATACTTAATTGTAAAAAAGTTCACCAGCAGGTTGTTGTTTTTTTAGGTCAAGCAAATTTGGGAAATGTTTTCTGGATAGAATCTTTGATAAAATATTTGCGATCTTTACAACAATGGTCATGATGTTAATTTTTGTTTCAAAGACTGGTTTGTGTTGATTTCCAACTGTTAAAACTTGTTGGCAGACATTTTGCTTTGCCATTGAAAGACAATATATTGCACTGATATTGATTTCTAAAAATAAATAAAGGTAAATTGGATCCCCTGTACTTTTCTGCCATGAAATCATCTTTTGGTTGAAGATGTTTTACTTATCAACAAGATAACTTGTGGTTCTGTTTAATAATATTGTGTAAGGCAAATCATGACACCTTAATTTGAAAGTCATCTTTAACGTATATCACACTAAAAACAACAAGTTAGCCATCAGGATAACATTTTCAAGCATATCAAAATGCATTGGAAGGACCTTAGAAGGCTACAAAATGGAAATGAATGGGAATCTATCCTAAATGAAATAAATAGATACATGTTTAGGTTCATTATACAGATGACAAAACAGGCATGGAAAATAGGCAGTAACACTGTCTTTAGCAACTGAATGTGTTCACCCCTCTGTTTCTGTAATAGACTATTCTTGCCATTATATTTCACTAGCCTATTTCATGTTACAGAGATACTTACATAAAATAACACTTTAAAGTAGAAATTCTTAATAGTAAATTTTAGATACAGTTATAACTGTACAACTGAAGGGAAATAACTCTCAAAGCAAAGTCCTCCCTTTTGTATTCTAATATATGTTATAAAGTATACAGTTCAAAATTTGAAGAAATTTCAAGAAACATGACTTTTCGTCTCCAATTGACTACCTTCAAAATATAGGGGGTGGCAGTGTTTGAATGTTGAGAGAGGTGGGGGTAAAAAATTTGAATTCAGAAACAGAAGGGGGGCTTTCATCAGTGGGGACTACATGAAATACAAGAAATGAAGTGTCCATGAAATGGTTTCAGACATCCCTGGTATAAAGTTATCTTATCCAGAGATCAGACAAAGAAAAGTGAATAAGTTTGTTGACTGAATGTGTGTATTCTAGGTAAGAACAAAAAGGCAATATCCTTCTGCTAATTATCAGAACATAATCAATTTGATATGGTTTTAAGCCTGTTGTGTAAGAAAATCCTGATGTAAATGATTGAAAATCGGTGATTAGGAGTAAATTATTTTTGAAAATTATTTATTGCATGTATGTGTGATTGTGTTCAGAATGGTGTGATGTACTATAGAATCTGGCACATTACACTCTGGTTCAATATATATATATATTTTCATCCTATGTAAAGAAGGACTGAACAAAGATCTCTCCTATAATATGTATTGTCCCATGAATGAGGAAGGGAGATAATAAAAAGCAATTTGTCTGTACTAAAACTGTCATCTCTGCATGGTCAGAGAGGGATACAATCTGTTGTGACCTTCTCGAGATAGAGAGTAAACTGTTTTCATCATAAAGGGAGATTATCTGTTGCTGTTATCGTCAGCAATTGATAATCAATCTCATTAGCAAGGGAGATAATTCATTTTTACCTTCCTTGACCTTCATGAAGGGAGAGAGATCAGTCCAGTTTATTCTCATATGTTGTTCTTTGATATTATAGTTCACATTTGCACCTTTTGCTTGGCTTAGATGGATTCAATCAGCTAGCTTTATTCTTGGTCTGGGAATTTCTCTTCAAGTTTCAGTCTTCAGTCTCATGTCTGTTTCACCCCGTTCACATCTTTTCGATTAAAATGCTCCACATTGAGTTCAGATCACTTTCCTCAAGTGGCATTGTAGCCAAGCTCTCATCCAGATTATATCCTGTCAGGTTCCACCTTGTGAAGGACTCTCTATTTCGGAAGTTTGTTGTTGTTTCCCAATGGATGTGGATATGGTTTTCATTTACATCCAATCAGAGTTCAGCCATACTTCCATAAAAGATGCTGTCTGCATCCCACTGGGATCTGTCCTAGTATCCATCTACACTCACTGCATTCCTCATGGTTCCTGGGCACCATGCCTTTTAATTCCCCACAATAGAACCAGGTGAACTAGTCTAACATTGTTGCAAGTGTGATCAAATCAAATTGGTCTCCTATGACATCAAGGTACCATGATGACTTTTGAAATTTCATCAAATTTGGGATGCATGTATCATTGATGAATGATATTGAATTCCAAATCAGATATGTATGTTGGCAATATTTGTAAGAAGCCTAGTTCACCATTCAGAATGTTGACAGATTTCACCTACTCTTTGATACATCCAGTTGTCACTGCCCATATGACAGTTATTTTTATTATGTTTTTTTTTTTTGTATTTTCATGTTTCATTTTTTTCCCTTTTTTTCCCCAATCATCAGTCATCAATGAAATAGTTTTTGCCATTTTAGTTTTACAATTAAAACAAGAAATGAGAAGGTAGGGTGAGAGATCTCCCCTTCTCAAATCGATATTATCTCCCTTGATTTCACAATCTCTGTGATATGTATACTTAATGTATTTACATGACACAATGGGAGACAACCTGAAATCGTCTCTGAAAATCTATGTTCGAATATATACTGCCTGTAAAAAACAAATGAATGGAAACTCATACTTATTTGATTGAAAATGAAATGTCAGATCTTTAAAAGTGTGAGTTCAATGAAATTGATATGAAATGTCAACTTTCCATAAGCATTTATGTAACAATATGAATCTGAAGTAATGCATTTGTATATATATATGCAGATATTGAACTTCGTCAATAAATATAAATTACCTTCTGCCTTGAATTTATTTTGTCCATAAGTAGAATACATATACTGTAAACATACTGATTTTGGTGTAAACTTTAACATATCAGTTTCAAACAAATTAGGACACTGATGAAATTGTGCTTTTGCAATAATTTCAGTATTTACAATATACAAAAAATGTAACTAACCAATCATTTTTATAATAATACCCATATTGCAAAACGGACAAAAATAATATTACCTCACAACGTTTGTTTACAGTACATTAGAAATTTTTTGAAGAGACAATAGCTGTTAAACAAAATATATCAAAATGACGATATAATATATGCCAGAAGATATTACTATAGAAAGTCTCTTTGTTGAAACAAGTCACCATATACTAAGCCTTGGTAAATCCAAGGTTATGACAGTGCATGAAAATAATATCCTCTAAAAGGCGTTCACAAATTGTCCATTCTTTATTCTCTGATATATGTCCATCTCAAAGCTGTTTACAAACCATTTTCTGTTAGATATCTCGGCAACATAGCCATCTTAATGGGGTTCACAAATTAATCCGTCTCAAAGCGGATCACAAATTGTTATCCCCAGATAAATTCTGCCTTATCTCGGCAACATTGCTGTTTCAAAGCGGATCACAAATTGTTATCCCCAGATAGATTCTGCCTTGTCTCAGCAACATTGCCGTCTCAAAGCGGATCACAGATTGTTATCCCCAGATAGATTCTGCCTTATCTCGGCAACATTGCTGTCTCAAAGCGGATCACAGATTGTTATCCCCAGATAGATTCTGCCTTATCTCGGCAACATTGCCGTCTCAAAGCGGATCACAAATTGTTATCCCCAGATAGATTCTGCCTTATCTCGGCAACATTGCCGTCTCAAAGCGGATCACAGATAGTTTTCTGTGGCTAGATATGCTTGATCTCGGCAACATTGTTGTTTCGAAGCAGTTCACAAGTTATTCTGGTTTGATATTGTTCTATCTCGGCAACATATATTGATTTAAGGTAATATAATCAACAAGCACTTTGCACCTTTTTATCATTTCCACTCAGGAATCAACAGAAGGATAAGAAAAATCAAACCACTTGCCTTTAATGTCATTTAAGGGAAAGCCTCATTCACTGAGGCACCTGGATGGAAAGTTAAACCTTCTTGCTGTCGAGTTGTGCTTTGGAACTTTGTCCTGGTTACCCCTTCAATTGATTAGATAGAAAACACCCAATAGTAGTACCTTAACCTAATTCTTCCAGTCTTATTTGTCCCTGTACCTCCTCCCCTAAGGCCTTAGTGACTGAACCTCGGTCTGCTTTTGGCCTGCTTTCTACACCTAATTAGGGCAACACGAACTCCAATGCCATGCGTTCCATTTTGTCCATGTATTCTTCCGAAAAACGAATTTAGTAAGGGTTGGCACTCCTTACTCCTTATGAGACATTTGTTTTTCGCCTCATCGTCTCCCAAACAACACTATTCTTACATTGCTAGAAAGCTTGCTAACTCCCATCTGCCCGATTTTCTTATTGCCTAACCCAGCAAAGCACTATTTCAGCTCATAATTAAACACAAACTCTGGATTAAACACTTTAACGAATGGTTAAGGCATGGGAATCCGTAACCTTCCACGTTTTGTCATGTCTGGTATGGGCAAGCAGGTGTTCGTTCCAGGCGTTTCAACTTACTGCTATCTTTCATCCAGCTGTACAAACTTCTTTCCCGAATTTTGGTTTTTTGTTTCTGTTCTATACAGAATGTAACCAATCCTTTGTATCATCACTTTGAAATCCTGATAAGGTGTTGTCAGGCCCTGTTTCTTCTTTCTCCCTAAGGCTCTACCTATGAACGTCCTAATCTCCAGCTCTGTTTCCTCATCATCACACAATCTCTTGATGACCTAGGTCAATTAACTCATCCCCCATTTATTAATGACAAATATTAAGTAACAGGACTGGACAGCAAGCATTGTAGGTAATGAAACGATACATGTAAACATTTCATTGTTTTATTACTTTTATATTGTTTAACATCTTATCAACGCCTATGGTCCTTTAAGGACGGCCTCCCGATGTATGCTAGGTGCGTAAGTCACCAAGCAGTACACCTAAACCGACTACATCATACTGACAACTGGCAAAGCAGTTGTTCCACATCATAATGCTGAGAGTTAAGCAGAAAGTGGTAACTACTATTCTGAGCGACTCGAGTATATTCGGGACAGGACATAATCCAAAACATTCCAAACAACGGCAAACAAACGCTTAACCTAAGACAAAATACTATGCAATATCAAGGGAGATATTAGGAAAGAAATGCCTGTTTAGAAAGAAGGAAAAAATTCAATCCTAAATTTAGTCGCTTATTAAGATCGTGCAATTAGGCTAGCAGATACATTTGCTCTAGATCTAGATAGAAGACAAGGACGATTTTGTTAGGGACAATTTCAACATAAAGAGGTTATTTCGTCAAATGACAAATAGAACGAATTTTGATGTGTAATTTGTGTTAAAATTATCTTCAGATCGCGGAAAATCTACACATTGTTTCTGTTTCATGTGAATGAATCACCAATGCAAATTTATGTTTTGTTGTTGATCTGCCTCTTTCTCTAAAGTAGTCTCTTTTAGAATGTGTCAATTATATAATGGAATAGTTTCGAACAGTTTCAAAATTACGGAAAAGAAAAAGATAAATAGAAGTATATATTTCTTGATGAATAACAGTTATACTTCATCGAGTCAGACGGGAAAGTTCACCCAAGATGAAAAACAACTGTTACTCACAAAGAAGTATGGAATATCTATGAACTTTTTTCTCACTTTGCATTGACGCACGTTGAAGTTGTCGCTTTGGCTATTGGCGAGCTCATTTTCCCACTGAATACTACACAGAAGTTTCACATCTACGACAAACGTTTTCATAATAATTAAAGTAAATACAAAACAGTTACGACCTCTTGTCGTTTCTTAAAGATACACCACAATACATTCGGGGAGAATGTCATCTAATTGGTGGAAAATAAAGGAAGATATCAGAACTTGTTTTTACCTTCTACTTTACTGCGGAAAAATGTAATGATCTTGATTTTAAAAAAAATAAAATAAAAAATAAAAGCATCGTATAAATCGGTGGAACTTGATATTTTTAAGTTAAGATTAAAGATTGGGTGTCACGATATCTTCCTGTCATTTGTTTCCTAATTATTTTTTCAATATTTTACAATGAAAAGGATAAGAACATGAATATAGTGTATAACATGATTCCACATCACTTTAGCTATCAAACTCTAGCGTTTAGAAAATCCTATCACGAAATACATTTATCTTGTAACAACGATAAATCTAATCAGATATAATTAAGTATTTATCCATGTCTGTTAACGATCACAAGATGATGCTGAGCCACAAAATGGATAAGAGCAAAAAAAAAAGGAATATGGTTACACCCATTTGGAACTATTGAAGTGTGCAGTGTCTTTATGATAAGATGTTCCGAATAGGAAGTTTCTTTTCCATTGGTGTCCAAAATGCATGGAAGTTAGCCGAATTCACGCCATGTCATGTTTAAACTCAAACTGAGAACGGATCGGTGATGTTGGAAATGCAAGTCATCTAAAGAGCAACGAAAGTTTGTTAAGCGAATGTCATTGATAAAAAAAGAGCGCTTACCCAATAAAATGAAAGAGAGTGAGAGGTTGTGTTACATTGTAAATATGATCACATCCATTTTAGATACCGCGGATCCTGAAGAATATCAACAACCTGATATATTGACTCTCTTAGAAAGTTCTGAAGTATTTTCCGTGTTTCCGATCGCATGGGCCCGGCGGTATTTCGCAGAGCTGTGCGATACTGTCGTGGAATTTCAGCAACCCGGAGCAACTCGGACTGGGACAGGGACGCTGTGTATACAATCAAAATAACTGTTTTTATGACTTGTAGAAAAAAAATACCACATTCTTAACGCATCCAGCCTAGACCGAAATTCACATTACATTTTCTCCCTCATTCCTTGCATTGTTTTTTCCTCTTTTTGTTCTGTTCTTTCATCCACTATTGCTTTCTTTCTCTTTTCGAACAGTACAATACATTATTTCTAACCCAAACTTACTTACAGGAAAAACATTGTGTTAAGTTGGAAGCTGAACGTCACATTTTACTATCATGGTTTTCAGTTAGATCGTTTTGTCACTGTATTTTTATCATTGTAATTTATTAATAGAATTTTGCCACGAATTTCGGTATCTCAAAATCTACGAAATGTACTTATGAGCTACCTCTAGTACAATGGGAAATAACATGAGGTAGGGGGGTCATCAATCCTAATTTTTGAAAATGATATGCAGAGTAAACCACAGAATACCAGATTATGTAAAATTATAGATCTTTTGATTTTGACGATACAGCTTTTAAGAAAGAAATAGAACAACATTTATATGGTGGATGATATATAGAAGCGTTGTGAGGATAACGTTATAGCATGGAGAAAATGTAAGATGTATATCAGAAACCTTCAGGTATGTTTGTCATGTCATAAAACGATGCAATTTACGAGCAACCGTTATTTCAAAACATTCATGTACTTTTATCAATAGGACGAGAAAGACAACACGTTTTTTTCATTATTTACCTACCGACTTCGAGGAATGTGAAGACCCTCTGTAATGTATTTGATATATTGGCACTGTAGTCCTCACTCCGGATAATAAGAAGTTGTTTTCTGGAGAAAACTTTGAGCCATTCTCGAAGATGGACGTGATATAAACTGGCAGAAATGGGAACCTGTATTAATGATATCAGAGCAAAGAATTACTACAGATTTCAAAGGAACAGTTATATACCTAGGTATGTAGATATCATAAACGTATTGAATTATCTTCCTCAAACTGATACAAAAGGCCATCACATAATAAGTATTTGTCATTTAATAGTAACCAGTTATTGATATTCATATTATTAATTGGGTTATATATATTCTAATACCATTATATTGATATCGTAAAATCTATGTTTTTATATTGATGTATTTATATTGATATTTCTATATGGATATCATTATGTTGAATTATATTGATATTATCAAATCAATATTCAAAATGGACATTATTTATGTTTTTATGTTAATATCTATATTGATAGTTCTATATTATTTTTTTTGTATTGAGATTCTGTATTGATATTATCACACTAATATCTTTATTTGTTCATGTTCGCTCTTATATACTGTATACCATACTTTTTTGTTGGGCTAGATTTCCGTAGTTTCACTTTAGCATTTGGCTTTATGGATAAATTTTTCTCACGAAATTAACTTGTACTAAAATCCATATATTATTTTGTCTGTTTACCACTTTGTAGGTTTACAACATTGTGGATTTAGAGTAGCCATGAATTAAATAAAACCTTCGTGTTCATTATTGATGATACAGTAAAATATCACAGAGGTAAATCAAAGGAGGATACACTTGATGACGTTTATTTCGAGGAAATGAATATTTTGTTTCTGTCTATACAAACCTTGAATTTCTTTTTGTTGTCCCTGTCATATAGACATGATCGTAGTGTACGATTCTCTTGACACACATGTAATTCTTTTATGGTTTGTAAAACGTCAACATGAAACTGATCTGTGTTGTTTCCATAGTTACCATGAAGATAATGACTGTATAACCTGTCAATGTCGGGTGGAAAATGTTATAGGCAACGTTCATTTATTTCTTAAGTACTTGTTTGTAAAAGGTATAAATATATAATAAACTAGTGTGTTTCTTTCACTGAAAAAAAAAAAAAAAAAATCATGAACTTAATTCAGATTGAAAAAGATACACATGTATTCCAACCGGCCCCCGAATGTTTGTTATATATAGCTGTCATTCTATTTTCTATATCATACTAATAATAATACAAATAAGACGCTGCAATTTAGGACACCCTGTCCTATTCCAGCAATAGTATTTCTCTAAGTGCCTGCTACTATTTTATATCAGTCCCTTCATGAGTGGAAAAACAGTTGATTTGGTTGAATAATTTGATATTGCGTAAACGTCCAAGCAACATCTTTGGTAATCTACGGTTACGGCGTCCCTGTGTGCGCGATATGTTGTGTGTATTTTCGGCAGTTGGCGATATGTTTATATTTATCCTTGTGATAATGTGGAGTGCATACATACTTGTGATAAAGCAGAGTTAGTTTAGTGTTATATGTTTTAATTTGCTATAGATCATATAAGGAAGGCCTTGTTTAGTGTGTGCATTTTAGGGAGGCTTTGTAAGCATCCTTGTGCCGCCAGCTTTATAGGGCTATCACACTGAAGTATACTGCCGATAATATTGAAAGGACCGAACTGTCAGATGAAGGTGGTAATAGAGGCATAAAGAAAATTATGCAGAAAGATGAGGTCTTACGAATCATTGATTTGGAGTAAGTAGGTAAAATCTTTATTCAGTAGGACTATCAGATAAGAGTATCCATTTCACGTTTTATTGCAGCTGTAAATATGTATCAAAATGAATGTACTACGGACATTCTTGAACATGATAATGTTCATAACATGTAAGTGAAGCAAATGTGATCATTCACGATGCTGTATCTACACGAGCCAGCGTACGTAATCACATTACTATAATTTTTGCGTGTTTGGCAACCTTGTAATCAGGTTATTGGTCGTACGTTTGTAAGAGTGTCTTTATGACAAGCTTGTAACAATGTCATAGTATATCGTAAGAGGCGACTTAATAAGCGGTCTAACTTTTTCGCTTCTTTCTGAAAAAAACCCACCTTTTCTAATTACTCCATCGACAGTGCCTCGCCTTTGACCTTTAGCGGAGTCCATAAAAAAGCAGTTATTACTCATAGCGTAATGTGCGGTATTAAGATTGTGTAATGAATAGTTCACACGTATTTTTCAGTGTGATAGCACTATAAAGTTGGCTTAGGTTTCTCACTGTGGCAAGGAAACATACGTATTGCACTTTCAAATCCCTGGAAAGTCTGTTTGATACGGTTTCTATATCCTTGATAATTTTACTTCATGTAAGTTTGCTATTTTTAAAGGAATCTAAATTTTTTGAGTTTTGCGATATCTTTCCCTGTTGTTATTTAGACATAAATAAAACTGTCGATAGGCAATAAAAACACGCAACACACACTCAGCAAATGCTGTCACCTCGTTATACAGGGAGGCCGTTTTAAAAGACCAAATATGTTGGAACAAAGTTAAACAGTATAAAACCACACTATGACCATGTACATTGTACGTATGCACGTGTCTGTATATGAACGAAATATCCTGAATATAAAATATGTCACCTTTCTACTGGATTCCTGAGAATAAGTATAAGCTTGATTGCCGGATTTACATATTTAATGAGATAGGGTGTGGTTATATTTGGTTCCGTTCCTTCCGGGTCGTTCTGAGGTATAAGTTTCCAGTAGGATTGATCCCAGAGATCCATAGGCTCACCATGACCTAAATGTAATAAATAAAATCACATTAAAACATCAGCACACAAACACAATTCTAACCATACGATAAGTAAACATCAACAAACCAGAAACAAAAATACGAAAAAAGAATGAAAAAGAAAAAAAAATTGTCGTCAACACAACATTGAGGTCGAATTACCTTATTTGTGATTTATCAATGACGCGATTGTCTGCATATATGTATAAATAGACGTTATAAACCCTAGAAGTGTGACATCATAAAATAATCATAAATCACCCCACAAAATTTCCTGTTAGTTAAGAAAATATGTGGAGCTAAACAATCTGACTTGTGTTATAAAATTTTGATCACGAGAATGTTATGTCGTAATGTCCATTTTACAGCGTGTTTCTCAAATATCAGTTATATACAATCTTATACATACCGGTAATAAGGTGATGATACGTAGATCCGTCCGGGCCTGACAGTTCATTTTTGGAAATGGTCTCGGAATCAAACAATTTGGAAAATTGACTTAGATACATGGTACCACCAGGCATGTTCCCATTTCCTTATGGTAACATAAGCAAAATACACTTCAGATTAAAACGATATAAAAATGGAGCAACTTTTATAGAATACAGGATACATATTTTCAAAGCAGTAGTTTCATCATTATCATTATTCTGACACCGTTAACGACATGTGTAATATTTAACATTACCATATCGTCTCCAGCTCCAGAACCACGTTTCCTTTTCCATAATGCCCTTGTTCTTCAGGATGTGTGGATGTTGAGTAATTCTATGAAAAAGATCTGTAGTTCCACTTTTACAGACGCCAAAAAGGTGAAAATATGGAAGACATCGCAGTATTTTCTTTGATTCTTCAAACCAACATGGATTTTTAAACTTCTTTAAGAATTTTTTTCTCTTCTGTTGGAAAGAATAATTGCAGGCATTAACAGTATTTTATTTAAGGCAAATGTATATATACCATGAGATTAAATTAGAATCGAACCAATCAAACATATAATCTGATATATGTGCATGAGGAATGTTAAAGAAAATAATTTGAAAATCATTAAAGACCTGTGTAACTTACCTTACATAATATGTCCTCGGAAAATGTTGCCAATTTCCGGTGTCTGCAATCTATCGACAAAGTGTTTGATATACGGGAGTCCTCATTGAGTGATACAAACGTTTTATTAACCCAATCATTACGCCTTTCTGTAACGTACTTTCTTAATTGGTTAATGTCTCCGTGATTCTGTTTCCTCTGTGATGATATCATTAATTTTTGTGATGTTACTTCCGGTTTTTTGTCTAGAAGACGACGCCACTGAATCTTCCATGATAAATCTGACCCGTAACTCAATATCTGCCTTTTAGAAGGAGATAGCCCTATAACTGGAACGTGATAGGCAAGAAGAAATAATTGCAGGATCCATATACCGACGCCAATGAAGCTCACCACAACTATGGCAGTCAACAGAATCGCTTGGTCGATTGCTCTGAAACAGGACATCTTGTTAGAAATATACAATTAAAACATTCATTACATCAACCTCCCTATTTTGTATTGCTATGTCTAAAAACCGAAAAAAAAACATCCCAAGAAAACAAGAAGACCTTGTATTCCGGACGACTTGGACTATATCTGCAAAGTAAGTCTTATAACAGTAAGTAGCGTCATGTTGTCAACTGAATACTAGGTACAATGTAAGCTGTTAACGCGAAATTACTAGGCATACAAATGTACAATGTAACTTTCAATCTTACAGGGAAAAGGAATATTTCCCGATGACATTATGTTGATGGCGTCAGTCAGGAAAATGAGAAACATATTATGAATGATTTGATCATGTGATGTATGTCTGATTAATGTTAAGGTTTATGATGGAACCTCTTCCCACCTGAAACGGTGCATTCTGTTGAAGGAAAGTTAATCATATTAATGAGAGATACTGTAAAATCATATATTTTCATGAGCACAATTTTCATTTTTTATCACAAAAATCACTATTTCAACATTTGATTTCGGGGATAAATATACCTCGATAAATGTTCTTACACTGATCATAATGGTTCGTGGACACAAAATCAACGAAAATATATCCTCCACAAAAATTCAATAGATTCAAAAGTATTCTACAAACAACCATTTCAATGAGTTTGTATTGTATATCAACTATGTCTTTTTTCCTTTTGAACAATAAATTATTTTGGAATCATTCCTCTACAGCCCATCACATGCGGTAAAGATGTATATTAATTGGAATGCCTTCCCATTTCGTTACACAGGAGAACAAAAGGTATTCAATCTAAATCAGCCCAATGTTTAACACACGGCATTCTTTATTTACGTTAACGCCTACCGAGTCATTTTAAACCTATTTTTATTTAGTAACACAAAGAAAAACGTCCGGGTAAGGCACAGACATCACACACATGTACATTGTTCAATAAAGAAGGATCATGTGAATGTCCGAGGTTGAAACATTGTCTCGCTGTGAAATATTAATTTCACCTATACAGAATCAAAATGAATGGAGAAAGAAAGAAAAGCCAAAAAATAAATAAATAGAAAATAAGTAACATAAAAAAACACAGATACATCACTACCGAATATAGCCGAAACAGGGAGTGCAAGTAAAATATATATCAATGTCTGCACAAATAATCTTTGAAACTCTATTTTATAGTATTGTGACATTCGCTCCTGACTGTTACAGTAAAATTGTATAAATCCAAGCATTAACATTGGCGGCCGTTAACACGAGTAAATATCATCACAAAAACTTTTATTTAATTTATTACTTATCTTATGATCTTATAAGCAATATAAACCATGTTAAGTATTTTTCTTCTTGATTGTATTTCTGGCAGCTGTTCACTTAATGGTTAGAGTTTTCCCCGTAAAAATCATCCAGAAAAAGCAACGCTCGTTTCGAGCACATCTCTACTTCAAAACTCTTCATAATAATCAAACAGAAGTAGTCTGTATGCTTAAACGGCCATCTGACTGTAAAGATGCTATAACAACTGTGTGAACTGTCATTACATTATTAAAAAAAATAATATTAAGAACAACACGGTTCAATGTCAGCTCAACTGCATCAATGGTAAGTCAGGAAAACCATGATTGTGCAATTATGTTACATAATGACCACTGAAAGCGCCTCGTCACTCTGTCAACTTTCTTTCAATAAGATCCTCATCAAATTTTAGCTGACTGTCACTAGTGGAATTTTAGCAAATAAAAATATTTATTTTTTAAAAGGCGGCCAATTTGAATATCGAACCTGTCCTTTATGTAAGTACCATCGCGGGGCCATTGATGGTAAGTTTACCATGGTTACGGCGGACGCCTCACAACGATGAACAGATCTAACATATAGTCAGGTCATGTTCAACGAAATTGAAAGTAAATTTAAATGACACTATCGTCAGTACTAGAGAAACCAAATGTATGCTTTACTTCGCGTTGGTGTAATTTACGTAGTGCTTTGCTGGATTTATCAAGTCATGAAATAAGCATAATGGGAATTCATGTATACAACTTCATTTCATTCATTCAACTTAGCAAAAATTTCAATACAACCAAGTAAGGATAGGGATATTGGTGTCTGGGGTGGGGGGTGGGGGCATCACTATCCCATTCAAGAGGACGAATACCCACACCCCACCCCCGCCCCATTTAGCGAATGCGCAAACAATGACAAATAACAACACAAAAATTGCTAAGCGACTATAAACCAGTACCAAACAGGTTCATGCAAATTCGAGGTCGGTTAACGGAAATTTTATGAACAGTATATATACATAAAACTTGCAAATTCCTCACGGTGTATTCTAGTACTTGGGCAGATTAATATAGCAGTGGTAGTGGGAGGTCTGGAATTTAATCTTCTAGCACCTGATTATTATGTAATTGGGCATGATATGTAATGTATGTTACACAATATCCGATTATTCATGTGACATTTTGATAGAAATGAAAAATGTTTTTGATAAAAACGCACTGTACTGCGTGAAGGTACTTAACTAAAAATACATTCTGAGCTGTCAATGCAAAAAATGGTCTCATGGGAAAATATTAATCGTATGATACGTCTTATAATAAGATAGTATCAGTTTTGCATTTTCTTCTCTTAATATTAAATATTGTACGCTGTGGATTTCTCCAAGTATATCGCATTTGATCTTTTTGACATCTACAGCGAGTGTAAGGGTTAATGCATACAGACACGCACACAGGTTAACGTAAAAGGCAATGAAAAGTGTGTTATATCAGTTAATAGGTCATTACAATCAAGTAAAATCAAGATCGATACAAATTGGAGCACTTTGAAACCTCGCTCTCTATCAAAATAGTTAATATGGAATCGGGTTTACAAGGATATACCAATGTTTGAAGGTTTAGACAAAACTCTGTCATCCATGTTAACGCATACAGACACGCATATACTTTAACAAGGAAAGGAATAGAAATGTGTTTCATTCTGAAAATCCTTATTAGGAAAAAAATCAAGATAACATTTGATTTAAATTGATAGGACTACTTTTTCATATATGTAGTACAAAGATATAAATAGTTCATTGTTCAACTATTCAGACAATTATCAATTTGTTATGTACATAATGGGGGTTTAGAATGAGGTTTAATATAAAATACAAATTTGACAAAGTAATGTATATGACATTTTTATCGTGTCATTAAAAAAAGAAATTTAATTCAGGAAATGGAAAAAAATATGAATGCAGGTTTTCCCATAATTTTGTTAGTAGTAGGCTGTGTAGTGAAAGTAGGAGGCTGGCCTGCCGTGTACGTGTAGTTGTGTACGGAACATTATTACGAAACTGGATTGGTGTAGGCGGCCAAATGATCAAAGAAGCCGGTCAAATTGGCCGGCGACCGGCTCTTACGGAAGACCCTGTGAATGCTTTATCTCACTCCGTTGCTGAAAAAATAAATAGACCTGCTGTCATCGTTGCAACTAGCTGTCTTGATATTTTTCTTTCTTTTCTGTTCCCCTGACTGCAAGAACGTTAAATCTCGTAAAAGAAAAATTAGGAATAACAAGTAGAGCGGGGAATGCTCTAAAACCTTGAGTTACGACAAAATAAACCAGAAGATACACTACATAAAGTATGTCTTCACATGCTAATATGTCCCGTGACATAACTTCATTTAATTCTCATATTTTTAAAAACCAGTCTTAAAAGCAAGCTAAAAGGTATGAACATATTTACCTGATTCCTTAGAATTCTTAACATTTTCAGTTAAACTACATGTAATAACGTGCTACTTTCATGATACTGTAAACAATAGAAAGATTAATATACGCCTGTTTCATGAAAAGAAGATAAATAATGTTGTATACACTGACGCGATATGTAATAACGGATTATAGTATTATATGTCTTTATGAGTAAGGATACCAAGCTCAAAATGCTGGAAAACAAACAACACTTCTTTCAAATATTATTCAGCCAAAGTGGTCTTCGTGAGAACAATATCTCGCTTTGGTGATAAAGTCTCTCAGGTTTCAAAGAAACAGGTTGCAAACTGACACTATTGAAGTGCTTAACAAACCAGATGCAAGAACTCCTTAAAACTAAATAAAATCAAAAGCCCCTTGAGGTAAACTAAGATATATTTCATTGTTATAAAATTTACAAAAGTTCTTGCGAACTTGTTAAAAAGCTGAGTATATACCTGCCAAAATGTTGTTCTGTAAAAAGTAAAAAGTTCGAAGGAGTTCGGCTTAAAAGTGTGAAAGGAGATCTCCCGAAAAAGAGCTGACGAACAACGCCCTACCAATTTCAGAGAACATAATTCCATTCCGTAATAGATAAAAGATTACGAGTAGTATATAATGACTCTCTTCTTAAAGCCTTGTATCATATGAACTATGCTAATAACAAGAAAATGGTAGAGATTGGACAAAAAACAAGAAAATACCAACATGTTAACATCATCATATTCCAAACTCAAGTTCAATAACACGACTGTAAATATGAATAAAAGAAAGAAAGATTTACACAGAGATTCACCAAAATGTACATGGAGATAACGACCAGGTGATCCGAAGGAACAAACATCTTCTGCTTCATCCGAGACGACAACCATTTAAATCTCGGTCAGTCCTTGTACGTAATGTCACTTTCGCGACTAATGAGTATCAAACACGTCCCGCTTCCTACCGCACAAAGAAATAAAATATATCAATAAGGTCACTATGGCGACCGTAAACTTTCCCATTATTTTCACCAACTTGCATCTATTGAAACATTGTGTTACGAGTTTGTCCGTCACTTGACGACTTCTTGCACGAAAATAGCTGCAATGGAAGTAGGACCTTGAAAACCAATTCAACTGCGATCTGAAACACTATAGATCAGGGACGTTGGTTTGTATCCAGAAACAAAATACTAATCATAAAAAACCTAGGGAAAATGAAATCACACAGCTTGGTGGAAAGCTGACCATGTTGGTTTCGTTTTAGGAAAAAATCGGGATAG